ACAGCAGTAAGAGTTGAGACAGTGCAGGCCTTGGCTGCTGATTGTAGGATCCCTGGGCTGGGACCCAAAGTAGCAGGTGGGCCCAAGCCCTCCTATCAGACACTGGGTAAGTGGAACAGTCTGGAATAAGGAAGAAGACTGCCTGGAATGGCATCCTCATAGCTAGTCCGGCAAGACATTGTTACCTCAGAAGGGGAACACAGTGTAGTGACCTGGCCGCAAAGCCAAGCCATGAAGAGGAAACTGCAACTCCTAGAGAGCAAGAGGGACCATGACATGACTGAGTGGAGCTGATCCCCCAAGCCAGCCACAAGGGGGTGCTCCAATAGTGAATGAACCTTCCAAGGGGGGCTGTGGAATCCCCATCATTGGAGGTTTTTAAGAACAGGTTAGACAAATATCTGTCAGGGATAGTTTAGGTTTACTTAGTGCTGCCTCAATGCAGGGGGCTGGACTTGATGACTTCTTGAAGCCCCTTCCAGCCCTACATTTTTTTGATTCTACGATTCTCACACCCCAAAGATGTTAAGTACTTTTAAAATTAATCCCTGACAAACATTTAGCTGTTTAGTAGTTTAACACATTTTGAAAACTCACTTTGTTCACCATACAACAAATAATTTTGAGTGTATGCTGGTATTTTTGACCATACACAGAAGAAAAATGTGACTTTTCTCCTCCCCTTTTTTGGTCTGAAGAAAGCAGTATTAAACCAAAATGAAAGATTTGCTGATGTTGCTTAAATAATGTTTATATCTGGCAATGATATAATGCAGTTTTTATGGTTCACTTGCAAGAAACCAAACTTGTTGGTTGGTTTTGTTTTGTTTGTTTCAGTAGTTACGATAGCAGGCTGCAATCCCCTTTACAGCATGCACAGATTCACATGATAAAGGCTAGGGATTAAGCACAGCCGATTAACAGTCTGTGTCCTCTACAATCTAGCACTCCCACTGTAGCTAAACCCATATTCAGACTGAAGTTATAATAAACAGACTGTCCTCAATATCATTTCCCTAGCTGACCTCCTCAAACTGTCATTCATGTATTCTTGCGGAAAATTACAGGTTCTAGCAATCAGAGAAGAGCCAAATATGTCTATGTTTATATTATACATGTGTTTTTGTATATTCAGAAGCTGAAGTGAGATACTTACAGCTGCTGCCTAGGTAGCAATTTGAGATAAAACGTTAACTTTTAATGCAAAATATATAGCTATATTTTGAATTGAATCATTTTAAATAGCATAAGTAGATTTGACATTGAAACCACTATTAGAAAGAAGAGCATTTTACTACTGACATCTATGTTTACAACTAGCATCGATCAATATTGTTAAAATCACCACACTGTTAGCGTTCAGATCCATCATGAAGATACAGAACTGTAATGATACTCTTCCTCTCTTTGCTTTTACTTCAGATGATGAGCAACAAAATCCAAGGGAATTTCCCCAACTCTTGCAGTCTCTAATTTATTGTTATGAATGAGTCAGTACACAACACAGAGCCACACACACACACAAAATGCCTGCATGGACAGATTTCAGAAACAGCCTGCTAGATATTTCTCTTTGATTTGATTCCTACAGGCTACTCTTCTCCTGAGGAAAAAGTGTATTCTTTTTGGTTGTGGGAGAAGGGGAATAAAAATTCATCTTTAAGAATTAAACTGTTTGGAATGTTTCTAGAAAGACAATTTCAGTTTAGAGAGGATTTTCCATTGCTCTTCTGCCTGCTATTTTCAGAAACATTAAAAAACAGTATCCTGTGTTTAGTAATAAATTGTAAATTCATTCTCTTTGGCAAGATTTAAATTAAACACTGTAGTTAAAAACAAATAAATTGTAATTGAGCTTTTTAAATTATTTATCTAGCTACACTGCCTACCTTTTAACTTCTATAGATTTTATACATTTTGATTCATTGAGTCTCTTAAACATTTTAGCAAGAGTTATTCAAATTAATTTATTATTAATGAATAATAATATCTGCCCAGTTCATGGGCCTGATTCTGTTCTCACTCACATTCATTTACATTGGTGTAATTCTACTGAATTCAGTGGGATTAGTCCTGATTTACATTAATGTAGATGAGAGCAAAACACAACCCAGCCACTTAAGCTTTGGAATTCTTCATTCCAAATGTATAATCAGAGTAGAGATTGCTAGGTTTGCTAAATCAATCTACACAAGAAGTAAATGACAGCACACGCTATGTAGCCAAGTTGCAAAACTGAGCTGCATTTTGATTAGCTACTAGTATTGGGTTTGAAGGAGAAGCAACATCACACGTGACCACAGTTGATGCATTATAGAAGCACAGCAGTTTCTTTTCATTGAAATTGTCAAAAACAGAGACACAAAATGATTCAGATATGTTTCAGTCTCAGAGCATTAACTGAGTTTAGATGAGTCTGTCCATCTTTTCACACATACACAAAACAGTCTCAGGGAACTTGTAAAGAAATCTGTACTTGAGAAAGGATTGAAAATGTGAATTTAACTCAGTCATTCATTTTCAGACCTCTACTTCAAAAACTAATTTCATGGTCTGTCTCCATAACAACATAGCTTTTTTTCTGGCAGCTAAGATTCATATAATGAAGTGTAATGTGTTTAATCAGATTCTATGGACTACAACTTAAAGCAATTTACCTTTAGTATGATTTGGCGACAGGCTAGCTTAGAAGATAGGTCAGTTCACTTTAATCATGTTTATGAGCAGTCAGTTGCATATTTACTAAGTGAAAAACATTGAGTTAGATTTAACTAGTGATAATTAAGATAAATGGTAGAAAGATTTTTTAAAAATGCATTTATTCATTTTGGAATGTGTGACTCTCCTCACAAGCCTACTGAAAATACCTGTCATCATGCACATGAATAAGCTCACATACAACTCACAGTTAGCAACAAAAATGTAACTGAAGCTGCCTACCCACTGTCCCCATATGGTGGCATATTTTGGAGGGGAGGGGAGATTTGGACTCCTAATAGCCATCCTTCTTTGCACTGGAGTCTAGTCCCAATCTTTGTATAAAAATCCCATTTTTTTCCACAGAATTAAATGGGCATAAAAACTAACAGTTGATAAACTGCTACACAATGACATTTGGGGGTTCTTCCATTTTATGAGGTAACAACAATATACTTGGTTAAAAACCTTGCAAGATCAGAGGCTGAGTAGATTATTAGTCTAGGGTTTGATTATGATATAGTGGACATGCTCAACTTTATTATTATTTTCTATAAATACATTTGAATTAAATATTCAAATTTTAAAAGAGAAGAATTCAATAATATGATGTGCCAGACTGCTGAAAGGTAAACTGACTTAACAAAAAAAAGCAAGCCCACTGTTGACCTTTGTTTTCGCACTTCTAATCTTTCCTCCATTTTTCCCCCCTTCTGACCTCCTGGTTCCTTCACATGAGCAAAATTCCTCTCACCAGAATAACTGCAGTAATATATTTGCCTACATTGTGTTTTAAAATGACTCTGGGACAGAAGGACTGGGGGGGGGTCTTCCAATATGAACAAATAAGGCCTTGTCTTACAGCCCTGACTTACAGAGTTGTCCTATTGACTAATTAAAAGCTGCAGGATCAAACCCACAAAATAAACAAACACATGAGAGTTATTCTGAAGACCAAGACCCATCTGGACATCTAGGAATAAGGAGAGAGTTTTGGAGGAAGGAGGGAAATTAGAAAAAATGTTCACCTCCCTGCAGACGCCTCCCTTTTCTTTTAAGACATTTTCCTTTTCAGTAACTCAACTGTTTTTGCTTTTCACTAATTCCCCCACCTCAGTATCTTATGCATTTTTTAATATTCTGCTTCAGCTGAAGTGAGTGGGAAACTAAGGCGATATATTTATTGCTGGCAAACAGCTTGGAAAATTCTAAGTATAGAAGCCAATCAGAGCAGAGGGATTATGGTAGCCAGAGTACCAAGATTTGCATGTTCAGAGTACGCTTACTGAGAAAAAACAATACCACGATTATGCAAATCAAACCCCCACATATAGAGAAAAGAATTTGCATATCTGGGGGAAATCTGTACAGTTATTCATCAGTAAGTAACTGCAGTGGATGAAACAATTGGCTTTCAGCAGAATATTAATTATCGTTCTCTTGCAATTATTCATTATCCTGTAATATTGAATAAACATTAGTCAGTTGGTGTTTGATCAAAAGAAGCCTTGTCTTCAATGGGGGACTTGATGTCACTCAACACTTCTCAAGAAATATTCTGTGCGCCTCACAAAAACAGCTTATGCTAAAAAGCAAGAATGAGAAGGTTCACAAAATTGTGTTACCAATTGTTATACTGATGACTGGTGTAGAGTAATAATTTCAGAGTTTTTTGTTCAAGAGTAGATGAAGGTAAAAAATAGCATTTTCATAGGATGTTCTTGCATAATATACTCAGTGATTGCTCCATTTTATATTTAGTGAATGAATGATATATAACTTGACTAAAAAATGCTAAACAATCATGGAGTCTTCAAGTTGCAGAACTTTAGCAATCCTTTGCTGATTAAAATCAAGCAAATTTAAATGTAATTTCAAAAGGCATTATAATAAACCAAAGAGAAAGGGAAATTTCTATAAACAAATTGTTTTCCTTAAAAAAATATACTTTGTAGTAGAATTTGTATACTTTATATACTTGTATGCTAAAATTATATTGTCTCTAGCTGATTTTTTTATTTGTTTGCCATAACCTTTGGGATTGTGACCCATTCGTACACTGGCCAATGCCTGCAAATAAAACTGCAATTTGGTGACACAAACGTATATGAAAATGAATTCATGCAAGCATGCTTAATTGATATAACATTTGCATCTAATGAATATAAAGAGAAACATTTCAGTTAAATAGATAACATGGAGGAAGTAGAATGAAGCATTGTATAAACCCAATATTGAAGCTACTCATCATTTGCACAAATAGTGTGTGGGTTGGTTTGTGTGTGGTTGAATAAAGTACTTACCATCCTCAGTGGGCACATAGATATTCAAATACAGGCAATCTTCATTTTGATCTTGCACATATGTCACAACGGTATCCAAATTGGCAGTAAACCAGACCGGCAGCATGTCATTGAGCAGTGACCTCTCATCCAGGTACTGTGGGCAGACGGCAGCAAACTGCGTGGCATTCCGAACTCCAGTCCATGAGGAGGGAGGTTCTGGGGGCTGGAATCGCCTCTCCCCAGTTGGAGGGGAGGCATAAGGAATTCCCAGGTACTGCTCCACTGGGCCCAGGATCTCATTGGGCAAAGGTGTTCTTAGGCCACGTATTTTGCCATAATTCGTGGTAACAACAGGGTATTGTGCTTGGCCATCAATGAGGGTAAATCTTATAGCTAGTGCAGTTATCCACAAAAGGAAGTTAGAATTCAACATGACACAAACTGGGGTGAAGATCAAAGGCAGCCATAGGAGTCCCATTGGCCTTGACATTGTTTATATCAACATCAGCAGGGCTCTGTCTTCCACAGCCAGGGAGACAAAGGGAGATGAAGTGAAAGGCAACACGTAATATTTTCAGGTAATGAAAAGCCTAAGAATGAGTGTGGTTGCTGCCTCAGTTGATTGACCATAGACAGATTCCAACGTCAGGACAACCAAGGGAGGCCTCGTCCCTAAGGCCCATCCCCAGGCTCCAATGCTGGTTTAATCCTGGTGGTACTTCCCAGCAGGCTGAGAAGGAGAACGTGGTCAGCAGTCACTCTGCTTCATTGGCACAATGATTCCTTCCAATAGATTCCAACAAGATCCATCAGCCTATAGCCAAGAGGAAGCAGACAATTTAAATTAATACATTTATTAACATTGACCAAAACTGCAATATTTTTTTACACTTACACAGTGTCTTTCATACTAGGGTCTCCATGTGTTTCATGAATTTTAGTCACTTCTATGAGAAGAGAATTACAGTATACCCCTTTTGGAGATGGAGGGAAAGAGGCTTGCCCAAGGCTACAGAGCAAATAAGTGGCAGGGCTGAGAAATAAATCCAACTTTCCCAATTACCAGTCTCTTGTCCCTGTCGCAGACTCTCAGCCCCCATAAAATCAAAACATGCCTTGAACGTTTCAAGAAGGTTACCTTCCATGCCCGGGCCAGCTCTGCAACATTTGCTAGCCTAGACAAACTGAAAAATGTACATCCCTTTGCACTTCCACTCAAATAATGCATGTTTACTAAACATTTTGCTGCACTAGATAATCTCCTTCTTCTTTCCATGTTATGGTGATTAAATGTGATTACTTATTGTTAGCACAAGGATGAAACAAAGGAATATAAAGAAATAAGGTATACCTGCAATTTTTATTTATAAGGATAAACAAAATTGTTGAAAACACAAATTTATCTTCCACAGCCATATTAAAAGAACAGCTGACATACAGAAAGGGAATGGTACAGAGTTCAGGCAGTATATGATTTGAGTTGCAGTAGGTCCACATATTGTTATTTTAAATGTAATATAAAGGTTTTAAAATTATTATGTACATCCCATTTCTCTGAAACATAAGCAGCACTATACAGAAGAAAGCTGAGAACCTAGATGCTTGATTCTGCTGTCACACTGGCTTTTCTGCTAGTGCAACTCCATTAACTTCATTGGAGTTACTCTTGAGTTGCACTGATGGATCAGAACCAGGTGCTGGAGCATAAGAATGGCCATACTGGATCAGACCAATGGTCCATCTAGCCCAGTATCCTGTCTCCAACAGTGGCCAGTTCCAGAGTTTCAGGGGAAGTGTACAGAACAGGGCAATTATCAAGTGATCCATCCCCTGTTGTCCAGTCTCAGCATCTGGTGGTCAGAGATTTAGGGACAACCAGAGCACGGGGTTGTGTTCCTGACCATCTTGGCAAATAGCCATTAATGAACTTATCCTCCATGAACTTATCTAATTATTTTTTTGAATCCAGTTATACTTTTGTCCTTCACAACATCCCCTGGCAATAAATTCCACAGATTAACTGTACGTTGTGTGAAGAAAAACATCCTTATTGTTTGTTTTGAACTTGCTGCCTATTGATTTCATTGGGTGACCCCTGGTTTTTGTATTGTGGGGAAAAAGTATATAACACTTCTCTATTCACCTTTTACACACCATTCACGATTTAACAGACCTCTATCACATCACCTTTAATCATTTATTTTCTAAGATGAACAGCCCTAATCTTTTTTTAGTCTCTCCTCATATGGAAGCCATTTCATATCCTTGATCATCTTTTGTTGCCCTTCATCTTTATAAGTGATATTCACTAGTTACCTCAAGATATGAAAGAAAGAAATACAAAGAAACAGGGTACACCTGTATAGTATATAACAATTGTATTTATCTTTAATGAAAACTTAGTGTCCAAATATATATGCAAACAATTACTGAGATGAAAGATACTCATACAATGTATTTGAGGGGTTTTTTTTCCCAGAAGTTGTTCCCTTCCAATATTTACCTGACATGTCATCTCTTACACAGCTAAGAAACAATTATTTGATAAACAAAATTGATGATATCTTTCCTTTGATAGGACCAACATATGAGTTATATATAAGCTTTCTGGCCTATGCAAGTCCCTACTGCACATAGGAATCTTGGTCCCCTTGAGAGATTAGATCACCTTCACAGTCTACTCTTTAGAGAGCTACGTAGCTATTAACATTGATTGTAAATGAGCAACAATTAAAGAACTATCAGTGTAACTGCCTTTGCATAAGCAAGAATTCTGAAAGGAATCTCATCCTTTCTTTAGAACATCCATCTTTAACGAATGGTAAGGGGGAACCCACCAGATTAAGAGGTAACCATACACAATCTGAGAAGTAGCTAAACACCCAGTACAAGAGATGTTTTAATTCCATATTATTTATGTAGAGCCAACAATGTATTAAGTGCCTTACTGACACACAAGACACAATCGTTGCCAGAGGGCTTGCAATCTAAACATGCCTTTTCTAAACATTTTTAGAAAGAAGAATCAATGACAGCCCTAAGCAAGAGCCTAACCAGAAATTCCCACACCAGAGTACTCTCCCCCTCCCTGTTCTGCTGCTGCCGCCTGGCTTTCTCTTTGTTGTAACAGTGTGCAACAGCAGCACCTGTGGATACCTGCTACTGCTCCCTCACTCTCTCTTAGCCCTGATGCCTATTAATTTCACAGCCCATGCAGCAGGCAGCAGAGCCATCATTCATAGTCTACTGAAGCTTGATGCTACATTCAGAGAGCAGCAGCAGCAGCTCCTCCTGTCTAGGCCCTGCACTGGGAAGGTCACTGGCATAGTTATAAGAACAAGAAGGGGGACTTACAAGTGGAGAGAAATAGTAACAATGGGGATATGGAAGGAAAGAAAAGTGAAAAAGACTTGGGTGGTAACAAATGGGCAGACAGGAAATCAGAGTGCTAGTGTGGACAGAGACAGAATGAGGGGCAGACAGAAAGAGAAAATAAAACAAGAAAAGTAAGTCAGGGGGGCATAATGAACAAGAGGAAGGGAAATAATGCTATGGAAAGAAATAGAACTAACAGACAAATTTAAAGATAATGGGCCCAGATCCTCAGCTGGTGCAAATCAACGTAGAGATACTGAAATCAATGTATACCAGCTGAGGAGCTGGCCTAGTAAATAACTATGTATCAAATTTTCTTCTCAGACCTAGAGGCAGGAGCACCAAAGGATTCCTTGCCTACGGCAACAAAGCATCTAAAGCTGGTTCTGGATGTTCTGAAACCATAAACAGAGGGTTTCCCCGCCCCCTCTTCTGTTTTGTTTTTCCTTTTCAGTAGACGGTAGGAGTAAGTACAGAATGCATGTTTCTGCTATGCATAAGCTTAGAGTTTAGAGGCCAATTTTATACATACACATGTGTGTGATAGCGACCATCTTGGTTAACACACTGGATATTGAATAGGGGAACTCCAGAGCTGAAAGCATGAGCTTCTACAACCAGAGCTAAAGAACCAGGCCCTGAAGCTAGGGCTATAACAAATCCACATCCTCTATGTAACGGGCAAAAGGTTGGACAAACTACACATAGCGACCACAGTGTTACACATATACACCGCATAAAAGCAATTATAAGACAACAAATTGACACAGTAAACCCACTATATATCTTGCATGCTGTAGTTGTTAAGCATTAGCTTTATTACCTTACTAAAACTGCAGTAGAAACAGAATTTTTTTTTACTACATGACTGTCACATGCAACTCTACCTATGTTTAACCCCACCCCCCACAAATGATTGTTTATTAATGACTTGTTATGATATATTTAAATATTAAGCGCCTTTTGAAGAAGAAGCCTACTTAAAATATCTTCAGGATAGTTTTATTACATTATTTTAAATGAAGGGGGGAAATCCCACAGTTTTCAATGTCTGATCTTCTGGATTTCATTGTTATTAGAAATACTGATTTGAAAGCCTGATCTGCTAGTAATGAAACTATTTTCTTCATCAAATATAACATCTTTCATTTTTATATTATTTAAACTGTAGAATATTTTTCAAAAAGAGTATAAAATGATCATCCTCCAACATACACAGGAAAAAATGCATGCTAGTTATATTATATGCATGTAATAAATATATACATTTACACTTTTAAAGAAGCTAGGAGATCTGAATAAAATCAGTGAGAATTGCAAGCTGCATTCATCTTATTCAATGCAAAACTGCACCTGGGGATAAAAGGCTTTCTTTTTATCTGGGATAAAATGATTTTAGATATTTTACCATAGGCCAAACCAATCAGAGGAATGTCTATAAGCATGGGGTTGACTGTTTAATATGTCTGCCTGCATACCTACAATTTAAGGAAAGAAAAGAATATGCTCTTGTCATTATTTCTTATTACTATTCTTAATTATTTGCACTGGGGTAGGTCCTATGAGCCTCAGATATGGACCAGGCCCAGGCAAGGCATTACAGACAAACAGAAGAAAACAAACACACACACACACACACACACACACACACACACACACACACACACACACACACACACACACAAAAACAACACCCTGTCCCAAACAGCAGCAACTGCTGTGCGTCCCCTTTCATCTCATCACTGAATGACAAGGTGGGCAAACTTGGGAAGGTTTTTTCTTCTTCTTCTTCCTAAACTGGAATAATTTGTTTCTTGCTATTTGTTGTATGGAGGACAATGATGACCATTTGAAGAAAAAATATGGAGCTAGCTGTGGGCAGGAAAGAAGTATGGCTGGCTATTGTTACCCTTACCTCACTGTAGTTCTAGATTTAAAAATGAGTCTAAGACAGAGGTTCTCAAACTGTGGGTTGGGATCCCAAAGTGAGTTGCGACCCCCTTTGAATGGAGTTGCTAGGGCTGGCTTAGACTTGCTGGGGCCAACGGCTGAAGCCCGAGCCCCACTACTCAGGGCTGAAGCCAAAGATCGAGGGCTTCAGCCCTGGGTGGCAGGTCTCAGGTTGCAGGCCCAATCATGGGGCTGAAGCCCTTGAGCTTCAGCTTTGGCCCCCACACCCAGGGGGGGTGAGGCTTGGGCGAGTTCAGGCTTCGGTGCCCCCTCCTGGGGTCGTGAAGTAATTTTTGTTATCAGAAGGGAGTCGCGGTGCAATGAAATTTGAGAACCCTGAACTACATTATAAACAGTAACATCTCTAACATTCTCTCTGAAATTGTATTAAATAAAGGCAAAAATTGATTAAGCCTAAATTGCATGGAATTCTGATTCAATTTCCCCAACTTTACCCCCCATAATTTCAATACCGAAACACAGCATACT